TGCCCGAGGCTGGCGCCCCGCAGGTGAGAGGAGCGCGGGGCCGACGCACTGACGCCGGGGCCCCGCTCTCGGCTCCGCTGCACCCGTGACCCGGTGGGGAGGCTTAGATTCGCGCCGGCGGGAACCCGACCAGCGCTCGGGAGCGAGCGCCCTCCCTCGAGCCCTGTCCTGTGGCCCCTGGGGCTCTCGTCCCAGATCTAGAGAGACAGGAACAGGAGTGACAGCGACAGGTGAGGGCTTCTCGGCCGGCAGGTGCGTTCTGCTGGGTGCGACCCGCGCCTCGGAGGCGGTGAGGTCTGGGACAGGCTGAACTTCCGACGCGGCTCCGAGGTGAGGTCTGCCAGCGCGCTGGCCCCTAACCCAGCGGGACCAAGACCCTTTAGCCTTCGACTGAGTCAGGTTTCTCATTAGAAGTGAAAGCACTTAGGTAGCCACACGTTGTTTAAAAGGAGGGGCTTTTGAAATTCCCCTTAGAACTTATAAAAGAGCACTTTTGCTTAGAACTTGGATGCTTGTCAAGATTGTGTCTTTCCGGCTGAGACAGAAATTGTTCCGGGTGCAAACAATTCAGCTGGCCGAGAACCTTCTAGTATTGCAGGTCTTACCCGGACTGATGCGAACTCAGCTCTTCAGAGAAGGGCAGCTGGTGACTTTGAAAGTAGAGACCAAAATAAAAAAAGGAAATGGCAAATATTGTGACTCTTTGAAAACTTACCAGGATTTTAAGTTTGAAGTTTCTTCCTGTTTTAGACAAGAGAACTTTACAACTTTATTATAATGGACCCATTTTACGAAAAACTGCCAGAGGCTGAATGTATGTTGTTAACGTTTTTAAAATGCTGGCTAATTTCTTGCATTATTCCATTTAAGAATTTGGCTTGGTTGGTTAAGTAGGGATTGATCTTAATCGTCACTCTGTGGAGCTTACAGAGGGATAGGTCTGAAATGCATTACAGCTGGTTTGGCTTGGTGACCTTCCTAGAGTGTAATCACACCGACCTGGCTAAACGTGCGCTCAGGGGTAGCCGGCTGAGGACCCTGGTGTAGAGGTGGGTGGGCCTTAACCTTGTTAATGTGGAGTCTCAGTACTGGTATGGCAATCTGGAGGACTTCAAGACTTACTCACAATGTACATTGTATTCACTCCTTCCAAAAAGTAGCCTTGTGTCTGATGGCACAAGGGGTTAAAGCACAGCACTATGCAGCTGTGGGCAGACCGTGGGAGTTGGACCCCTGGCCTGGGAGGTGATCCGCATGGTCAGGCAGACCTCTCTCCTCCCTACCTCAGCAATGCATTTCAGTCAGTCCACCTGTTCTGTGCCCCACTCTGTCGCTGGTGAATCCTGTCACCACCCCCATCTCTGGCATGTGCCCCAGTTCTTGCATGCACGCATAAATAAGTCTTAAAAAAAAAAAGTGTAGGCTTGCGGTCATTGTCCCATCATATCGTTTAAAATTTACATTGTTTCTTCCTCATTCAAACAGTGCACATCTGAGTCTTTGAATGCTAAGAGTTGAATGCTTGGCTTCTTCCCCCACCCCTCAATTACAAAAGCAACAAAAACCCACCTCCAGTGTTACTTACTGCTGCCAACCCACAGATTGTCCATGTTGCTGCAGAACTTACATCTTTCTATGAGGGGGTCGTGGCCAAAAATTCTTTTTTACATTTGAGATCTACAAAACATCCATCTCATCTATGCTTTTTATTGATAACTTAAAAGGCATAATATATAGATTGACAGGTGTTTTTATCTCAGCCCTTTGAGGGTATTATTCCATTGCCTTTGGGCTGGGTGAAAATCTTTCATCATTACTTTTTGCTTGGGATTCAATAGAGAACTCGGGTTTTTCTTCCATTCTGAAAAATTCTTAATTCTTTTTTTTAAGACTTATTTATTTATGTTTAATTTTTTAAAGATTTATTTATTTGTGCATACAGAACTGGGGTACAGGCCAGAGGCTCAGGGGTGGTGAGAGGACTCACCAGAGACAGAGTAGGGAACAGAACAGGCAGATGGACAATGTACACTGTAAGGGAAGTGGTGGGGAGACAGGAGAGGTCTGCCGCCCCCTGTGGGTCATCTCCGGGGCTGGGGGTCGAACTTGCCCTGAAGCCGCAGCAGCTGCTAGCTTGCAGTGCTGCGTCCTTACCCGTTGTGCCACCAGGGAGAGCCGAAAAATTCTTAATTCTTAATTCTATCTTTTAATATTTAAATTCACACCAGCATTTGTGGCAAGCCTGGGTTCTGATTTCTGACAGATTTTCTTGCAGCTGAACCAACACTTCCTTAACACTCAGTCAACAATCTGATTCCTTTCAGCAGATGATTTTTATTCTTTGTCCAGACAGATCCACAACTCTTGGTTGTGGCTCTACTTGGCCTAATTTTAACCACTGTCCTTCCCATTCTTGATGTCTTACATGGAGGAGTTCTCAGCCCAGTGCAGAGGGTAGATGGGAAGAGAGAGAAGTAATTCTGTTACTTTTGTTTTTGTGGAGTTAATGCAGGAAGCAAAGACTAAGGAGTACAGAAGCAAGGAATGAGAGAGCCCAGCAGAGCCTGGGACAGGAAATGGCAAGAGGAAGTACTGGATCGATGAGAGGAAGCTGGCTGTGATGGAGCGTGGCCAGATGGCTTGACTGCCCCACTGCCATCTCAATGGGGCATGCAGATGGGAACGTTGCTTTCTGCTCTGACTTCTCTGCAGGAAGAGAAGAATCTGCTGGCCTGGCTTCCTCTCACCCAGCAAACCACCTGTCCTGCCTGTGGTCCCCAGCACCTCTCCTGTCTGCTTGTGGGAGGTGCATGACAGCATTGAGGAACAGGGTCCTTTTCCTTTTGGACAAAGGGCAGCCTGCTCCCTGAGAGCCCAAGGCCTTCTGTTTAAAAACCTCCATATTACTTGGACTAGAAATCCTAGTCCTAAATCCTTAATCCTAAGGTTGAAAGGGAAAAATCAGAAAGCACTGCAGATGAGCAGCTTAACTTTGACTCTTTAGTCTGCAATGACCTTTGCAGACTGATACCCAGAACATTCTGTTGAAGAGCTGTCAGTCAGCCCACTAAGGGCTGAATCAAATGCCATGGAAGGCCAGGAATCAGGAACATACAAAAACAAAACCAAGTGAGCAAATGAACAGCAAAGAGGAGGCAGCTGCAATCTGTGCACTGAGCTCAGAGGAGGAGGCTGGAGGCAGGGAAGATGCTGCTGAGATAGCAGGAGGCTGAGTGTGGGTAGGTGGTGGTCAGTCCCCTGGGTGGGCCTCGCCCTCTCCCTAAATGACTGGCTTGTGCTTTCCTCCAGATATTCACTCACTCATTCTTTCTACCCATGTTTTGCTTTGTCATTTAAAATCTGTAACCCCCAGTCTCTTCTATGTCCTTGTTCCTCTCTTCCCCTCCCTGTTAACTTCATCACAGTGTGTTGTTTATTAATGCCCACTACTTTGTGTAAGTATTCTACTTTACCAACTCACCTGCTAGGTAAATACCCAGTTTTCATCTGTGTCATTCTGACTTGCTTTACTGCACATAATGCCCTCAAATGCCCTCTATTTAGCAGAAAAGGGCTATGCTTCAGCTTTCCTTACGGTTGACTAGTACTCCACAGTGTGGATACAGCTCATCTGCCAGCCCATGTTTACAAGTCCTGCTTTGTACTCCCAGATGGTCTTGTGCTTTTAAGCCTCGGTGTGGTGCAGAGCATCTGTGGGAGTGTTACTGAGTGTATGTATCAGGGAATTCAATTTTATCTGCAGTCGTATATTCCCTTAGCAAAAGTCTAGCTAACTGGGCCTTGCCTCATGTTTCTCAAGCACTGGAAATGTGGTGTTCTGTCAAACACACTCACTCACTTGAATGAATCTCTTTACCTGTAGGTTGAATCACTGGACAATGCTACATATTTTGTGGACAGCGTGGGTCTTGGGGACCCTTGTCAGCCTCTCCAAGGAAGAGTCCTCTGATCAGGCTGCTCCTCTGTCTTGTGAGCCCACTGGTGTCTGTGATGGCAGCTATAGATCTTTGACCTCCATCCCCTCTGGGCTCACGGACATTGTGAAAAGCCTTGACCTGTCCAACAATGAGATTTCCTACGTGGGCGACACCGACTTGCAGAGGTGCGTGACTATGAAGACCCTGAGGCTGGGCTCCAACAGAATTAACACAATAGGGGAAGATTCTTTTCGTTTTCTGAAGAGTCTCGAATATTTGGATTTATCCTATAATCACTTATTTAATTTATCATCCTCCTGGTTCAGGCCCCTTTCTTCTTTGAAATTCCTAAACTTGCTGGGAAATCCTTATAACACACTTGGGGAAGCAGCTCTTTTTTCTCATCTCACAAACTTGCGGATCCTGAAAGTAGGGAATATTGATGCCTTCACTCAGATTCAGAAGAAGGACTTTGCTGGACTCTCTTTTCTTGAGGAACTTGAGATTGAGGCGTCCAATCTCCAGAAGTACGAGCCAGGGAGTTTGAAGACCATTCAGAACATCAACCACCTGATCCTTCGGATGAGGCGTTCTGTCTTCCTGCTGGGGATTTTTGTGGATCTGTTGAGTTCCTTGGAATATCTGGAACTGAGAGGCATGGATTTGAAAACTTTCACTTTTTCAAAACTACCCATCACTGAAACCAACCCAGTGATGAAAAAGTTTACCTTTAAAAATGTGGAAATCAGTGATGGAAGTTTTGGCCCCCTCGTGCAATTGCTCAGTTATGTGCCTACGGTGTCACAAGTCCACTTTTACGAATGTACCCTCATCGGACTAGGCGACTTTAGCACCTCTGATATACACCAAATCAAAGTCATGGAGAACATAGAGACGGTAGGAATCCGGAATTTACGAATCCCACAGTTTTTCTCATTTTATGATCTCAGCAGCATCTATTCCCTTACAGGAAGTGTTAAAAGAATCACCATTGAAAACAGTAAGGTTTTTCTGGTCCCTTGTCAACTTTCACAACATTTAAAGTCACTAGAATATTTTGATCTCAGTAACAACTTAATGGTTGAAGAATACTTGGAACACTCAGCCTGTGAGCATGGCTGGCCCTCCCTACACACCTTAATTTTAAGGCAAAATCACTTGACATCACTAAAAAGAACAGGGGAAGTTTTGCTTACTCTAAAAAACCTCACTAGCCTTGACATCAGTAAGAACAATTTTAATTTTATGCCTGAAACTTGTCAGTGGCCAGAGAAGATGAAATATTTAAACCTGTCGGGCACGAGAATCCAGAGCGTAACCGGCTGCATCCCCCGGATGCTGGAAGTTTTAGATGTCAGCGGGAACAACCTCAACTCATTCACTCTGCTTCTGCCCCAGCTCCGGGAACTTTATATTTCCAGGAACAAGTTAAAGAGGCTGCCAGCTGCTTCCTTCTTACCCACATTACAAGTCTTGAGAATCAGCAGGAATACACTCAATACTTTCTCTCAGGAGCAACTGGATTCCTTTGGGAACCTGAAAACGTTGGAGGCTGGCGGGAACAACTTCATTTGCTCCTGCGAGTTCCTGTCTTTCACCCAGGGGCACCAGACCCTGGCCGCGCTGCTGGTCGGCTGGCCGCAGGGCTACCTGTGTGAGTCCCCGTCACAGGTGCGGGGTCAGCGGGTGCAGGACGCTCGGCTCCCGCTGTCTCACTGCCACAGGGTGGCCATCGTGTCTGCCGTGTGCTGCGTGCTCTTCCTGCTGCTCCTGCTCACGGCGGTTCTGTGCCACCGCTTCCACGGCCTGTGGTACCTGAGAATGACGTGGGCCTGGCTTCAGGCCAAAAGGAAGCCCCGCAGAGCCGCCCCCCGGGACCTTTGCTACGACGCCTTTGTCTCCTACAGTGAGCAGGACAGCAACTGGGTGGAGAACCTGCTGGTGCAGGAGCTGGAGCACTTCGACCCCCCGCTAAAGCTGTGTCTTCACAAGCGGGACTTTGTTCCCGGCAAATGGATTATTGACAACATCATCGATTCCATCGAGAAGAGCCACAAAACCATCTTTGTGCTGTCGGAAAACTTCGTCAAGAGTGAGTGGTGCAAGTACGAACTGGACTTCTCGCACTTCCGGCTCTTTGATGAGAACCACGATGCCGTCATTCTCATTCTGCTGGAGCCCATCGAGAAGAAGGCCATCCCGCGGCGCTTCTGCAAGCTGCGGAAGGTCATGAACACCAAGACCTACCTGGAGTGGCCCCTGCAGTTAGCGCAGCGGGAGGCCTTTTGGCAAAGCCTGAGAACTGCCATCAAGTCGTAGGGCCTCCCGGGGAGGCCCCAGCAGCCTGCCTGAGTGACCAGTAGCCACTGAGTCTGTTCTGACACAACTGCTTGTCAACCGCGCGGTGTCCTGGCTTCAGGAGAGCCGCTTACTACAACCTCTAACACCTGCGATTTTATGTAGAGTGCTGTTTTATAAAAACAGCTGCCAAATTGAAATAGCATTTTTCCCCCCTCTGAGACGGTCATGATCTATAAGCTCCTTATGGATGCCTGCATTATTCATGGTCATTGGTTTAGTTCTTTGGGGAGTAGCAGGAAGGAGCAGGTTTCACATGGACAGGTGGCACAGCTTTCTGACCTGTTTGCCCTGGGCATTCTCTCTGCTCTCTGTGAAGCTGCTGTCTGGAGAAGCAGAAAAATTTCAGGTCACTCAGCCAAACTTGTTGCTACTTCTGGAAAAATGTGTGTGCCCTAATTATACTTTCCAGGATATCAAATACCGGGAAGGTGTGTTTTTTCCCGAAGATTTATTTATTATTTATGCATACAAGAAAGAGCTGGGGTGCAGGCCAGAGGTGTGGGGGGAGAAGCTGGGGCAGGGAGGGTGTATGAGCGGATTCACCAGACAGAGTGGGAACCAGAGCAGGCAGATCTACTGAAATACACTGCTGAGGGGAGCAGCAGCTGAGACAGGAGAGGTCTGCTGTGCCATGTGGGTCGGCTCCCTAACTGGGGATTGAATCCATGCTGCAGTGGTTGCAGATGGCATCACAGTGCTACCATTTAACCCATTGCACCACCAGGGAGTATACTCGGGAGGGTGTAGTTTTCATGTCAGCTGTATCTGTGTCTGTTCTAGAGGGTTCTAAAAGCTACTATCGTGGAGTTGTCTATAAAAGGTGAATGACGAATACATCAGAGATCAACTTAAGGGTTCCTTCTAAATTTTTAGTGAGTATTTTTCCAACAGTGAAGTCCTTTGGCAACAGATTGTAAGCTCAAGAATTTTCTTTAACCTTTGCACATGTTTCATATGTAATCAGTATTGAATTATTGAATGTTTGTTAGGCAGAGAAGTAAATGAGTTAAATAATCTGGATGGTGACCAGTTGTAATACTGAAACACAGAGCAGTTTCAAGGAGGAAAATTACCAACAGGTAGAAATCTTAGTGTGAGTTTTTCTATTACAATGATAGACTTTCTAAATCCAGTTTTATTGATTTACTGACTATTTACAAAACCATCTCTTTGGGGGTACAACTTCATCTCTCAATACATGCTTTACATTTCACTCACCTCCCACCAAAGTTCTAATGCCATTACACAGTCAATTTGAGCCCCTCTACTCATTCCTTTTTCCACCTCCCTTTCCCCACTGGTGACTGCAGCATCTAAGTATCAATTTTTCTCAGTATCTAAGACTTAATATATTCAGCCAATTTTACTTTTGTTTATATTTTGCATAGAAGTGAAATCAAGTAGTATTTATCTTTTACATTCTAACTTACTTCACTTAACATACTTCCCTTAAGTTCCATCCATGTTGTAGCAAATGGCAACATTTCCTCTTTTTAATAGCTGAGTAGTATTCTATTGTATGTGTACATCACAACTTCTTCCAATCAGTGAAGGACAGTGAGTAGCATTTAGTATGTTGTATATTAGACAATAGGTGGGTATCTTCCCTACATCATGTGAGTACAATATCTTCAAATACTGAAGAATAGATGTCCAGATGTTAGGTATACAATGCCAGCTGTTCATCAAGTAACTTAAAAATTATTGCAGAAATCTAACATGTCATTTTTGGGCGAATCCTTTGACTCATCTTTTTTTTTTTTTTTAATTTAATTCATTGGCTTTGTTTCTTCCTGCTGGATAAACTCCTTCTTCCAGCAAATACATATTGAATGGCTAGGCTATGACATGTCCTCCTCCAAGTGCTGACATAGTAGGGAACAAAGCGTGAGGGCAAGACAAGCAATGAACAATGAACAAATCCATCGGTGATAGGACGTCAGGCATTGAGAGGTGCTATGTAGAAAATGCAAGGTACTGCAGTACAGTGAGTGAGTGTGTATGTGAGTGTGTGTGTATGTGTGTCTGTGTGTGTAAGGTGGCATTTAGTGCCACTCTGGGAAAGGCCGAGTGCATTGGCAGCTTTAGGAAACCCAGTGGAACTCTAGCCCACGAAGGGGGCTATGATACTTGTTCTAGAGGTTTCGGGAGTGATCCCCTCCACACAGAGGGGCTTTGGTGGTGTCTAAGCTGCCAAACGCAGCAAGCACAGAAAGCAGAAAAGACCAGATCCTTAAGCCATAGGTTATTTAACAATACTGCCGACTTCTTTGAAGATGTTGAACGGATAGGAAGGGATTAGTTATAACTATTGTATGTGAGTACTTTGCAAACCTCTGAAAGACTTTACAGATGAGACCCTGGCCAGCTGGACTAGAGGTTGAATGTCCATGGTGGGCTGTAACAAATGTGTCGCATGCATGGATTAGAAAATGATTGTAATGGAAAGAAGCCAAGGACACTTTATTGGTTTATTCCATCATTCAGTTTCCCTTTAAATTCTTTCCACATAGACAAATTGCCATATGTAGGACATCAAACTAAACTCTTGGGATCATCTTTAAAATTTAAAAAAGAATATCAATATTAAAGAGAGGACCAAGAGTGTAAAAATCTTCCACCATGCAATCCAATGCTGCCGAGGTAAGCCTGCTGTACTATTCCAGCCCAAGTGAATAGTTAATGCCTTGAACTACTCCTATCACCACGGGCTGCCAGGCCACCAAATAACGAAGCCAATCCAGAATCTGCCCATACAGAATGTGTGTGCGCTCCCAGCTAAGTCTCAGTTAAGGAGATCACTGTGTACATCCCAGTAGCAGAAGTCTTCAGACACGTCCTTTGCAAATGTAAGCAGCAGCACCACCATTTCGTTCTTGATCATTCTAGACATTCATTTAGTGGCCCCTGGCATGATTTTTACAGTATTTACATGATCTAATTTCCAAACACAAATCGAAACAGCTTACAACAAAATCCCAAAAGTTAAAATAACAATAAAATAAAATAACAATAAAAGGTAAAATAACAAGGTAAGGGTTATATACTAGAGGGTCAGGGGGCATGACGACTGTGGGTCCAGCCAGGGAGGACAGAACTGCTCCCGAGGGAAGGCACCACGCCCCAGAAACCTGCATTCAGGTGGCACACACCAGTTCTGCGTCTATAACCTGTGCTGAGGGGACTTCATTCATCTCTGAGAGCACAAGGCCAATGATTCAGATGTAGCTTTTTCTCTTACTGAGTCTCAATAGAGAGTGCAGGTAACATTCAAACATTTCTCCAGACTAGAGAAGGTTGCAAATTGTCCCTTGTCATTTAAGTGATCGTTTGAGTGATCATAATCACCTAGCATCATCAATCACCTAGCATCATCAATTTTATAGCAAAGGGCTATTGCTGCTGGTGTATACGTCATTTATTAACCGAAAGTGGTTCTGAACTCTCCATCTTAAAGGGGACATTCCTGAGGGCCTGCTGTGCACTGCCACGGGAGACCACAGATGGTCGTGCTGTGCCTCTGCCTTCCTGCCCACTCAGAGGCGGCTCTGTGGCCCAGCCTGGGCTAACACCCCACCTTAGGGCTGGTGAGGGGAGCAGGAGCGAGGGCGCGTCTCCTTTAGTGTGGTAAAATGTAGGTAACTTTCACTCAGAGTAACAAAGCTGCCTCTGGGGAGAAGAGAGTCCTGCTCTTCTTACAGGAGAGGCTGCGTTTTAATCCCTCTTTCTCCCCTGAAAGAGAGATGCTGCAGTCTTGAGGTTGAGCCCTCTTGCTGCTCTGCATGGGACCGTTACCTTCCTGTGACCTTGGTTTTGGGTTTGTTCAGTTGGGGACCACTGTTGTCTACAAAAGTCCTGGCTGCTACCACAAGCTAAGCAGGTCTAATCTTTGTTTCTCTCAATATACTCTCGCTCAGGCTTAGCCTAAGATGAGACGAGACAAGGAACTTGAAAAACCAAAGTCTAAGGGGGAAAACCCCACTTGCATGCAGAGATGACGAAGTTTTCATGCCCTCCAAAAACTCTGCTGTGCTCCAGTCACATTTGGGGCTTTAAAACTTTAAATTCCAGCTTCTGGTCTATCCACTCTCCACTCTATCCACCTCCCTATGCTGTCGGACCTACCTTATCTTTCCACATATTTAACTGACGTTCGCACTATCCCATATAAGGCCTTAGACTGGGATATATGGACTCTACAGAGTAGAACCCCTTCGGGGCATTTACTTCCTAACCAGGCACAGTGGGGAGACCATGTCCTTTTCTGGAAATAGGTGGTGAGAGCAAACTTATCACTGATAAGGGACCAGCTTCTTATCTTTCTTTTATAACAGTTTAGACTGAAACATTCACCATCAGAAGCCATCGAGATCATATTTGTAATGTTTTACAAAAGGATACGGGTTACTGATCATTCTCTTCAAATCAACCTTCTCTTTGCAGTAAGGACAAGTCTGCTTTTTACCAACAATACACCAACCTCGGATGCAGAATTCGTGAAAGCTTAGGCATCTTGTTAGGGAAGCTTCTGGATAGTAAGGGCAGTGTCCGCTTCAGATGATGCAATGGAAATGATCTGGTTTGAGGAGTGTGGTGGCTGTCAATCATGACTAACTGCACACAACACTTTTCTAGGGAGATCCTGTAGCACTAAGGAAACCCCAAGCCAGTGAACTTAGAATCCAAGTTGCCAAAACTTTAGGACCCAGAGGGACTGACTGACCTTCTTTGTCTCACTGTTCTTCTGACCTCATTTGATTCTCATAAAAATTAAGTTAGATAAAACATGTGAAAGAGAATTTTTACTGTACTGTCTGTGTGAATAAATCACTGTATTTCCCTATCTCATCATACCTTTCCCATTCTACCTTTTGTGCAATTATTATTATTATTACCTTTTAATAACTATTACCTTTTAATAATTAATTACCTTAATAATTATTATTACCTTTTAAGCAATTATTCATTGCTTAGATAAGTGGAAGTTATTTGTGGTCATAAATTTACACATAACTTCTATTAGTGTCTCACTATTTGAGGTTTTTCCTTAAGCATTTTAAGTTATTGAAAAGAGGGAGGCAGTTATATTTAACAGACTAGAAGCTTAATAAACTTCTGAAACTCTAGGCATTTACAAATCCATTTGTATACATCCTCTTGCACAGAAAATTAGACCGCTGTCCCCAAGGTTGAGAATGAAACCCTAGCACCAGGGACTCACTGTTACCAGAGCACATGTCATGCTCTCATGTGACTTCCTGTGAGCTTGCAAATCTCCCCCTTACCTCCTGCTACTGTGAGACTGTTGCATTAATCTCCCTCCTCAGGCCCTTAGGCAATACTAAGATACCTAAATACAGAAACATATTTGAAAACAGATTACGTGCTCAAATATGTTTCCCCGGGGTCTACAACATTGTAAAATTGGGACAATGATTAGCTGTAATGAGTTACATTATTGATTTACTTATTTCTACCATGTTCATCCCAATCTGTTTTTCTGGATGAAGAGCACACATTCTCAGGACTGTACTGAACACACACCCTTGAACCGCAAGGATCTGTCAAACTTCTCCTTAAAAATGGGGAGCTTCATGGTGTTGACAAGTCAAGGCTTAAACTCCTCAGTACATGCAACTAAGAGTTTCCACTATTTTGTATTGTTGGACTTGAGGTCAGTTTGTACTATGCTTACTTAACATGAGGTGGGAGAAAATAACACAATTTTGAAGCAAAACCTATATGGTCCATCATTCCCTAGGGCTGGAGTACAGCCTCGTCTTCCACATAGGTGGAGTTCAGGGTCCCAGAGCCAGCACTGTGAGGCCCAACTCTTGTTTACTACTCTCATCTTCAGTATCAGACCTGAAAAGCCTCCATGACAGTAGCCTCCATGACGCTAATGCCACAGAGCAATGTTGGGTTACTTCTTCCTTGTTAACATGACTCACGTTGGCCCACTCCTCACTCCTGTGACTCATGCTAAAATGGGCCATTAATAACACTCCCTGCAGAGCAACTTTCAAGGTGGCTACATTTCAGATTACATATGCGCAATCTATAACAATCCCTAAGGGCTTTTAAAAGTGGAGAGCGAACATATTTCCACTTGCAAATGGCAGACGAGGCTCTGTTCCAACATTTTGAAAAGTAAATCATATTGAAAATGAAGGCCAGACTTGCAAAATTTCTAAGAGTGATAGATTTTTGGGAAAGGCATCACACTGAAAAACCACCATAGCGTTCCATGTGGGTCTGGTGGTGTTCCTTATTTTAAAATGTGAAGGCTTATATATTAGGCAAAAGGCTCCTGTGATATTCCAGATACATTCAGTCGAGTTTTGAATAACTCTAAGGATTGAATAGCTGGATTCTATCCAGATCAAACAGAACTGAATCACAGCCACTGTACATCTAGGTTTTACTGATGGAATTAGGTGGCTTCAGAGGTAAATGACAGATGGCTTAACCACCTCCTCATGCCAAACCTTTCAAATGACTGAGCATACAGTAATATTTTAAACCTGATATTATACTATAAAATAAAGATAAATGATGCCCTTTTTTTTCTATTTAAATATAAATAAAATCTTGATTGTTGGCCAACTCAAACACAATGGCTCTCAGAACACACCCTCTCCAGCCTCTTGCTCTCAGCATCTTTGTGGTTGTCCTCCTTGATTTCTGGAGCTTCCAGAGAATGCTGGCTTCTCAGTCATTCCAGAGAATTCTAATACCTAAAGATCCTTCAACTAAGAGCACCCACAGGCGCAGAAGTCAAGTGGTTCAAGAACTGGGAGCTCCAGTTTTGGCCCCTGTTTGACATCTAAGGGGTCCCTCGGCCTGTGCACTCCCCTCTCAAGACCCACGCAATCCGTGGCTGCCCACACCACCACTGAGGGCTTGAAACGGTGTGGAGGATTTTTCTAGGTAAAGCGCACTTCGCTGTCGTTGGTTCCCATGAGAGACAGACAACAGAGGGAGCGTCCTGTGTTCTTTTCTGTACCTGAAATGTCACTCTTGCTCCCTCCCCCAAGCCCCCTTTCTCCCGCCCTTGGGGCTCAATTATGATTTTGCCAACTTTCCCGCCCAGTGTCCTGCGCATGCGCTACAGCCTTTCTGTAGGGCAGCAATGAGATTCCTTTTAAAAAGAGGAAATCATGGGAAGAGGAGGCTCTCTTACAGCATTTCTTATACCACAGGGCTTATCAGAACTTCTCCAGAGAAAAAGATGCCCAGGAGGATTAAAGTCTGGGGCTTGGGGATGGGAGATTGGCAGGCAGAGGGGATGGGGTACAGGGACTGACAGGGAGGACGAGGGCAAACAGGGAACAGGAGGAAGAGAGGGAGAAGGAGGGGGAGGAGGGAGATGAGCTAGTTTTCCCTGAAGTGCCCTTCCCATCCGAGCAAGGATTCCTTGAAATGGTCTCCCAGCACTGGTTTGAAGCCCGAAGGTTTCCGAGAAAAGGATACACGTGGCTGCAGGAAAGCTGGTAGGTGTTTTCAATGAGTCCTTCTTCCTCAAGCTCCACGATGATCCTCTGCCCGCAGACAGCGCATATGTTGTCCGACAAGCTCCTCGTGGGCATCCCACCGACGCTGTAGAACTGGGGAGGGGGAAGGCCAGCAGCGTGGAGGGCAATTGCAGCCCTGCTCTGAGCTCTTACACTGGGGGCCTGCGGGCCTCGGCCCCTGCCCCTGCCCCTGTCAGAGTCCTTCCCGTTTCTTTGTTGGCTTGAAAGGCTTTTTCCCAGGTCAGGATGCTACCATGAGGTTAAGGTTTCCAGACAAAAACGCACTGACTCAAATGGGCCTAAAGCCATTGCTGATGCCCACCTACCCTTGGATGGAGGAGTCCTTCAGAAGCCGTGGTGCTATCCAGGGCGCGAGCTCAGAACCCTATAAGGAGTTTTTTAAGGTTACCCATAGCTTGACCTTCTCCTTTATTGTTCTAGAAATTCTGATTCATAAATCTGGAGAAAAATTGTAAATTCCACTGTGATGGTAGGGAGCGCCAGACTAATCCCACCCAGAGGTGATGCTTTCAGAAGCTAAGTTGGTTGGGAGTTTCTTCCCAATATTGGCACCCAGTTAGAATCCCTAAAAAATGTGTTGTTGTTGTTGTTGTTTTTTAAATAAAATATTTACTTAAAAATTGTTTTAGACTTAAAGTGCAGCTATGAAGATGGCAGGACCCCCATTCCTCCCAGTTCACCTACTAACATCTTACCTTGTACCACACATTTCTCATAATTAATGACCAGTGTTGATACGCTACCGTGAAATAGAACATGTGCTTTACTCAGGTTACTGAGTTTTAAACTAATGTCCTCATTTTGCTCCATCCAGGATACCATTTAAGTGTCATGTCCCCTTACGCTTCAAACAGTACGTAGCCTCTTCTGATTGGCTTTTTTCTCTTAGTAATCTATATTTACAATTCATCCTTGACAGCTCACTCCATTTTCTTAGGGAGCTTTTGAGACAAAGCAGATGCTCTGGCTCTGCTCCCAGAGATTCGGAATAATTAGTCTGGCGCAGAGCTCAGGCGCTGGTGTGAGAGTGGAGACCGCTTCTCCCTCCTCTGCCACAGCATGGGCACAAGCAAGCACGCAGACACATACCCATCTCCACATCTCCACCCTCATCATCACCAGGTCAAGTCGCCAGCGGCTGTGCCCTATGGTGTGGGGCCGTGGGCTTTGTGTACTTGGTGATATAAGACGACAGGATGTTAAAGCTAGTGGGATGGATCAGGTGAGAAGTCTCTAGAAAGATGGTGCTTCCAGACTTGTTATCAGGGAGATGCAGGGGTAAAATCTCAGTGCTATCCAGCTATTAAAATCCACTGTACCCTGAGTTCGATCCCTAGCCAGGGAGCTGACTCTCATGTTTCCCTGCTGCTCCCCTCAGCAGTGTGTTTCAGTAGGTCCACGCTCCCCACTCTGTCTCTGGGGAATCCTCTCACCCCACAGAGGTGACTCTGACCTGTACCCCAGCTCTTGTATGCATAAATAAGTAAAATAATTCTTAAATTGTTAAAATGGTAACTTTGGGGAAAAAACAAAAGGACTTGTTTTCCTTGTCAAATTGCATCTCTTCCTGGG